AAAAAAAATACCGAAAACCGTCTCTATCGATAATTGAGTCCGACCTGTAATTGAATTTCGATCGCAAAATATAAATAGGCGGTCCTATAAATCGAAGTAATATTCACGGTGAAATAGGACTTGTTCGCGATCACGGTCGGAAATCATGGAAAACTTCTTAGGAGTATGTAATTCAATGGTTTCTTTACTACCGCTTTTCAGCTGATGCATCATTTTTCGAGACATTTTCCGTCGTCAGATTCGAATGGTGATAATAACAACCCGGTCATAAGTGATGTGTTGTAATTGTAATGTGAGGGGCTCGGTGGCCTAATGGCAACCGTTTTTGTAAACTGAGCAAACGATAGTGAGTTCAGTCCCAGGATTCTTCGCATTATAGAGTTGTTAGTACCGTATAGGAGGGGGGGGGGGGCTCCCTTAGCTCAGTTGGTAAAGGCGCAGCTACAAAGCAAGAACATGCTGGAGGTGGCTGGGTTCAATTCCCGGTCCGGTATAGGAATTTTTCGGGTTGGAACTTCCCTGGGCATAGAAGTATGATTGGACTTGCCACACAATTATACCAATGCAAAAATGGTACAGGCATCGAAAGCTCTCAATTAATAACTGTGGAAGTGCATCTAGAACACTAAGTTGAGAACACACAATAAGCTAATATGAAGAAAAAGAAGTAGTACTGTATAGCTTTTCTCTGAAAATTACCTCATCAACTCAATTCAGAGTTCCATGTAGGGATTGTCCATTAGGGTGGTTCAAAACATCAATTTTGCTCCACCAAGCTCAATCGATTTCAAATCAGGTCCTGAAAATTTTCCTAAAACTTGAGCACAGTTGGATGCAAACGTGCAGTATGGCCCTTTGAAGTTTATATGCTAGACCTCCTTTATCAAACTATGTGGTAAAAATAGCGGGAATCAAAAGAAATATTCTCAAAAAATAGATCAAATCATATATGACCTTTCGAAATCTTTGTTGCGGTTTACAGTGTGGGAACCATTCCTATATTTCTAAGTGTTTCTGTTTTGATGGCGATTGTACGAATGAGGATATAAAGACCAAGATTTAAAGCGCTAGTTACACTATGGATAAAATAATGGAAATATTGTCAATAATATTGATGATACATAGTTATATATAACAATATATTGTCAATATTATTGCCGATCTTCATATATTGAAGACATTTAAGGTAACATGGACAATACATTGAATATAATGACATGCGCAGTGTTGAATATTTGAAAAAATCAAATCTCGCCAATGCTCAAGATCACGCTTGATTTTCGTAGACAACAATCAATAAGCCAGCAACTGCGGATGATATTTCAACCCACGATATCGTAGCTACGAACATAAAGCTTACAAAACATACCAGCTACAATTCTAACCAAACCGTGGTGAGTTTGAGTTTCATGATTTCTGCTTTACATCCGAACGCGACACGAAACTACCGTCACTGCTGGCAACCAGTAGCTTCGTGTCTGTCATCGGTGAAGAGTAAAGAGAGATAACAAACTCTACTTTCTCCTTTTTAGAAAACGATGTGCAACGGAATCATTTTTGTGTCGATTCAACTCTTAGCTTCATTTTGACATTTTGTGAATAGTCTCGCAATATCAAAGGAGCTTGTAGAATCAATATCAAGCATGACAGTTTGTTCCGATATCACGCGTGATATTGAGAGCGTATGAGAGTGGAAAAATATCATTTGATTGATGATTTTGCCAACACTGGACATGCGTACCGTCCGCTATAGATGTATAGACCAAGGTTATGCGAATAGCTCACTTTGTGGGCAAAAACAGCGCGGGATGCACGCTAATTCTAAACAACACAAATTTGAGTAGGATCTACTCATATCCGTCAAAACTAGAGCTACCCAAAATTGAGTACACAAAGTGCACATTCTCGGTTTTCCCGAATTTGCATTGGAATTCTCGACATTTTCCCGCATTTCCCGAATGGGTAACCTCCTGAATTAATGGATTTTTTTTAAAAGTGGGTTTAATTATGAGAACAGGATTTTTAAAGCCGATATCTTCTCCTTTGAAGAAGATCATTTGAGATTTTACTTCTCTCTATCTTTAAATCTGTCTACGGACGAGGCTCGGTAGCTCAGTGGTTACCGTTTCTGCTTACTGAGCAGAAGGTCGGGAGTTCAATCCCAGGCCCGTCCCCTTCCTTGCAATTTTTCACTTTGCCTTATTCTATACCCACTAGATTTTAATGAAAACAAATTCTTCGTTAACACCGATCGCATCACTTACCACAGTGTGGGTCCTGATCTAAAAATAGACCTGTGCAACCTTTCCCCACATCCAACATCCCAGTGATTTCTCGTGGAAGCGCAGAGGATTTCTCGGTTTCCTTCACAGCGAGTACCACGTCAACACATTCCTTCCCATTCCCTAGTTGACCTGCATTCGGACACGGCCGGCGCTGGTATTGCTAAATATAAGATCTCCAGTTCTTACACATTGAGGATGAATGTTAGTCCCAAACATCATCTGTTGGTTCTCTGTGTAATTGCAGCTGATCTGGTAATAACAGAGCAGCAACCGTGGGCGGTCAATCTGATTTTTTTTTCTATCTTTAAATCTGTCTACGCTTAAAATTTGACATATCGAAGCTAGTTTGATTGGATTAGTTTCCTGTTATTCGAAAAGGGTTTTGAAAAGGTACCGCGAGAACGGGATGTATTTCATCCCTGAGGCAAATAATTCAGCAAAATGGTCCACAACTCTGCAGAAATAGAAGGCAGCAGATATGAATAAATGAAAAAATAAATAACAATAATTATAATGTTGAGAAATACCTACCACCTAAAGGGTGGAACGAGCAAAAATTAGTCACAAAATGAAATGTAAAAAAATAATGTTAATAAATAATCACATATTTTATACTTTAACTATTTGTTTTAATATACTTCTGCGTGGTATTACATATTATTACATACCGTGGTAGAGGTAACAATAGCTGCAATTTCCAAACCTACGACTGGATGCCTTCCTTCAGATAACAACTTGAGTGCGGTAAAAATCGATAGAACTGTTTCAAACACATCGTCGGTACTTGAGCGTGTCGGTGATCATCTCTTTTTGCCAGTGGTGGCGGGGGGATACCCTTGCCATCCCTCTCCAACGGAGGAGTTTGGATGATCAAACCGATTTGTACATTCAGTCATAAAAGTTGTCCTTGCTCGCTTTCTACTCTACAATTTCACACTGCCGTACTCTAACGGAACTATCAACTCTATACTTTCATCTCCTCATCTATCGTATAAAAATTACCACTCTAGTCTGTTATTTGAAATTAGCATCTTCAACTACATATTTCATGTTATTTTGGCAGCTTACTCTCACATGAAGTCCTGATATTGTTGAGCTCACTCACTGCTTTGCCAAATTCAAATTCGTCGTTTTGTTTTGATTTTTATTTTCAACTTAAATATTCTGGATCCTTTGTGAGGTTTCTCGTGATGATTGATTGTTCAATATTTTTAAAATGGCCGAAGTATAACTATTTGGCGGATTCTAGTTTATGGCTACAACTGCAACCTTTTTTGGTTTCATAAAATTTTTATGTAACTAACCGCAATGACAAGACACGAGATTAGGCCTATACAGGGTATCATTGGTTACTAATAAAAAGCAATACGCATTTGTTCAAACACTCGCTCACGTAAATATTCTGGAAGATGATGCCAGCTGTCATAAAGCTCTAGAGCTCACCAGTGCAAATCACCTGCCCGACCAAATAGTTTTCTTGAAAATTTCATCTGATTTGTTGCCTAAGTTGTCCTGAACTAGTTCTGTTCCGGTTTCACTCTTGACGACCAGGAAGCTGTTTAAGGTCAGCCTTCACAAATAATGATTTGAATTTAACGAATGCGTTCGCTAAATTTTGAAATACTGGTTCCCTTGTTTAGTAGCCATCTTACACATTGAAGGCAAAATTCCGAAACCAAAAATGGCAAGAGATTTCGTAGACACACACCTTCGAAAATCAAGTGTTATTTTTTAAAGTGTACGCTAAACATAAAAACATTATATTTGAGTTAACTACTTTTTGCTCATTCCATCCTTTACGACTGTACATACAATAGCCTATGCAGGGTAGATAATCCGGTTATAATTCATAAAGAGAAAAGTTAACAAAAAAATATCATCTTAAACATTTAATGAGTGCAAATAATATCGTGCACACCCTTTAGGTACACACTTTTATAAGACAACTTGACGTTTGTTGGCTCAAATCAGTTTGTTTCACCGAAGTGGAACCATGTGACGGCGGTTCATTTTGATTGAATGTTTCCGTTTGTTATGAAGATTGGATGTTGTTGTCATAATTATATTTACGAAGAGTTTAGTCTACGCTAATGCGAATGTATTATGTACACACTTAGAAATAACTACTTCTACACGAGACGTAATACATATTGGATGTAAATCATGGAACGTAAACGAACATGCTTCAGTCTCAGGAAACCGAAATTTACAGGACTTTTTAGTAGTGTGTATGATAATGATCTCACTAGAACACTATATTGATAACAGGTATATATTCCGTGTCGTGCTTAGTGATCTTTCAATTTACGCTTGCCGTTAATGCTGATATGCAGATGCTCCAAATGCCTAACAAATTCATACTTCCGCAGAACTTCGAGATTTGGGCGTAATTGCTTTTGTAAACAAACACGTCAATCGCGAATAAATTATACCACATGCTAGAGGAATCATTCCTCTAACTTTTTGTGATGTTAATTTTCTAGGCTGAGCTTTTATTCGCGAGAAATCGTCGATTGAAGCGTTTGTTTACAAAAGCAATTACGCCCAAATCTCAGCATCTAGTAATACTCATGAAAATCACTCCACTATGATTGTACATAGCGATATCTACTATATCATACTCCAGTTGTGGGGAGTTGACTGTAATCGTGAATTGTCGTTCTGATCTACAATCTTCGACATAGCAACAGAGAATATAAAGCTCAATTTCCTTACCATGCGCGTACAAAACGATGACACGTCCAGCATTTTATCTGATATCGAGTTCAGCTAGTCTTCAGTAAAATCAACCACCTGATTGAAATACCACACCAAAACAAGCACTTCACTGTATCCTGGCACTCTTCGCTATGCTACCACATGTCTCTCCTGTACTGCCTACACTCTGCTCCTCTTTACCCACCCGCGGAGTTCAAGTACCAGGGTTCAGAACTTTAAACTCAAGGTCTTGGTGCACACCACGCGTTCCACACCCCTTACGGGCAGCACATGGGAAACCGATCGCGTATCGCAAAGCCACGCGACTCCAGAAAATCTTCTAGAGAAATTCCTCACAGTAAAGCCTTATCATTTTCGGCAACGCACCCTCGACGAAACTTGACACCATAACCAAAAGCGTACTGCGGTCAGCTCCACAAGTTCACACGGACAGACAGACAGAAAGCGGGGACGTGTACCGCTTCGCTAGATCGTCTCAATGTACACGAGGAAAAACTGAAACTGAAACAGCCAAACAGCAGCGTCGTGAGAGCTGGTATCCGCGTTCGATTGAGAAAAAAAAAAACAACGCGCAGACACACGGACAGACTCAGCCAGGTGAGTGAGAGAGAAAATTCGAAATTCGCACGGCCATGACTTGGTAGCTTGCTGTACCACCAATACCAGCTTGGGAACGGGCTCAGCTGATGCACATGAATCAAGTAACAACACGACAAGGGGTGCCCCTACAGAGATACCACTTAGGATAGAATATTTGAATTTTAAACACGACTTGACACCTGAAACAGCTTCGAACTTTTCTCAACTCAAAACTCTTGTAGCATAAATTAAAAATGGAACGGAAGGTCACATACAAACGCGCCTAAGCTTCTACACAGTTGTGTTCTACCTCAACGAAAACATCAAAACAAACTTGTTCCATTGCAATGCTACCAACATAAACAGCAAGTTCTACGGCGGCGGTGGGTGATTCAAACTCGCTATTTTTAGAATTCTCGTTGATCGGATAGTGTGATCAGATCGAGATATCTTCTGTTACTTCGACAACTTCAACATCAAAAGTTTCTTAGTTCACAGTCGCTAAAATACGACAGCTTCTTTTTCTTTGCATGGATGGCTACATCATGTAGAAAGTACAAAGAGAGCTGTAGTAGTGGTGAGTAGCGAGATTGAAATTCCACCTAAAAAGCAACTAAAAAAAAGCGTTTGTTTTGATGCCACGCACGACCGACCACCACCGGTCTCTCCAACGGCCGTGGATGACGTCTTTTGGATACGCGGCTCGGTCCGTTGTATTTATGCCGGAGCGTGAGTGAGTGTGTTTTTATTATTTCCATGTTGCTGTTTTCATTTTCGGGGTTAGACCCAATCGGAGCTGGTGTTTAAAAGTACAGTCGATGTGGGTATATCTACGACGTGTGAATTAACAGTTTAAACTGGATTTTGTTTTTAAGTTCTAGATGAAAATACAGATGAACAGCAAAGATAGTCCACAGTCTACCGACTGTTGTCATGCTACAGTGAGTGGTAGTTCCATATCATCATCATCATCAACATCTAGATGAACATGTGGAAAAGGTCAACATTACTTTAAACAACGAACTCACCGAAGTCTCACAATACACAACACACTCACGGAAATCAGCTACACCTTCCTCTAACCAGCTACTGCTGTTGGTTTACCCGAATCGACGAGAAACTGATGTTTAAAATCATTGCATGACTGTCTAGATTTGATCGTGACTGGAATGTTCGCAGCACGCAGTTTTTTTTTAATTGTCGACAATTATAATAAATAATTAAATTAAATTTACACCATAAAGACAGCGGAATTTAAACAGCTACTTGCTCAAAAGTACATCATACTTGATAATTGTACGGTGACAAAAGTTCACTTTGAGATTTTTGAAGCCAGTGCAAAATAAAACTCAATCTAATCTAATCTAACACTAACACATCCAGTTCATGCAAGCATCCTGGATAATGATAGATATACTGTGCAAAATAAAACTCGATGTTATAAAAGTTTTTAGACAAGTCTTTTATTATAAGATTAAACAATTAACTTTACAGCATTTCCAGGCCAAATAGCAAAAGGGGATTTTTTTTTAAATTACATTTAAAATATGCTTTCTCACCCCAATGGGTCTGAGTTCAATCCCAGCCCAGGTCGGCATAAAAATTTCTGGTCACGTCTTCCTTCGGAAGGGAAGTAATGCCGGCCTACGCAGGTGTGTAAGCTGCTTCCCTGCACATTCGATTGCCGTCAATGGATAGCAATCGATGTCCGTCGGTGATTGGCGCTAGATTGCGGAACAGAGACCGACGTTAAATAAATGAATGACGAATGAATGAATGAATGAATGAATGAATGAATGAATGAATGAATGAATGAATGAATGAATGAATGAATGAATGAATGAATGAACAAAATCGTGCAGAAACACCTGCTCCGCCGAGAACGCGAGACAACTCTGTCGAAATTCCATAGAATCTCCGTTGGCAGCATCGGAAATCTCCATTAGTAGCTATCCTCGGTAGTATTAGTACAAGACACTGAAGAAGTCTGCTCATTGTAGGCGAAATACGTGTATCTATCAAGGATAAGCAAATATGGTAGTGGAATTAAATGGAAATTACTAATCCTTCTCTCTCTCTCTCTCTTTATATAGGTATTGCACTAAGACGCTCACATTACTCAGGATTCAGTTTTAACGTGTTTTTGATGGAGGAGGTTCTGCACAGTTCCGGTGCTTCCAACGAAGATTCCAGAGGATTTCGACGTAGGTATCTCGCATTTTTGCGGGAGCATACACACGATTTCAGTGGAGATGTATTTTAGAAATCTCAGTTGAAAAAAAAACATAGCTCTGGACTTGGACAACATTTTAGGATTCTAACACTTCGAAGCATTAGCTAGACAATAATGATAAGCATGCCAATTTTTTTATCCTAATTATAGAGATTTTTAGCCGAAGGCCAGTTCATCTCTTAACCATGCCAAATGAGATTTGAGAAGAATTTTATTGAAATTATAGGGGGCGACCCCAGCGTAGAGGTTAGCATCCATACCTTTCTCGCCAGAGTAACGACTTCAAATCTCACCCCCGGACAAGTCACGAATGACCCAAGAGCGTTACAGTGACTTTAATAAAAATAAAAAAAATAAGAAAAAGGATAATTATAGAGGAATTGTGAGAAGATTTTCTATGGAATTTGACTAGAATATTTAAGGCAATTTTGAAAAGAATGTAATTTTATAAGGTGGCTTACAATAATAAGATTCTCAAGAATAGTCCAAGCGAGTTCTAAGGATAGATTCAAGAGAATTCCAAAAGATCCTTCTCAAGAGCATGTTGATAAGCATTTCAAGGACAGCGCTGGTAGTGCTGATACGATATAATAGTAGTGATTTTAGTGACTTTAGTGACTAAAATTACGGAAATAGTGACCAAATAGTGACTTGTAAATACTTAATAAGTAACTTAGAAATTCAAATACGGTTTGATATTGAAATAAACTTTTTATGTCATGGAACTTAAAATCAAATTTCATAAATTACTCTAATTTAATCGAATCTTACAACGGAATCTCCTGTGAAGAGTATTTGAAGTGATTTGAATAATTTCCTCTTACTTACGTTATATATGATGACTAGCAAATAGTAATTCCCATTTTTTATGAATTTGAATTTCGAGATCTTTTTAAATTTTGATATATCTAGGTAGATGACTTTGATAATTCGCTAAGAACTTTTCACAGAATTTCTTCAGAATGATCTCAAGAACTTTTTTAGAATAATTCCCCTTCTCTTAAATTTAGAGGCAAATAAGCTTTAACCAAAATAATACTGCATTCTTGAAATTTTTTGCAGAACAATCAACAAAATTCTTGAGAATTGATTATTTTCGTAGTTGGAAATGCATAACATCAAATATCAGAATTAAAGTGGACATTTTATACGATAAATGAGCAGATGAAAGTAAATAGTTGATAGTTCCGTTTTGGTACGGCAGTGTGAAATTTGTATATAGATAGTAAAAAGCGAACAAACGACAATTTTGAGGAAAGTACAAATCGATTAGAGCATCTCCTTTACCAAGCTCATCCGTTAATGAGGAATGGTGAGGGGTGTTTCCCCCTGCCACCACTGGCAAAAGGGATGATCGCAGATTTGCTCATGTACCTCCGATGTGCGGAAACAGTTAAATCGATTGTTTCACACTCAAGTCGTCATCTGACGTAAACAACTACCCGATTCGTACCTTCCTCAAAATTGTTCTTTGCTCGCTTTCTACTTTGTATGTACAATTTTCACACTGCCGTACTATTACGGAACTATCAACTCTATAATTTAATCTCCTCATATATCGTATAAAATCTCCACTTTAAAGCTGTGTTCCATTTGGCGGATTTTCACTTAAATTCAACAGATGGAAAATTTTCAAATAAACCTGCTATTGTACCAGACTTATTTCTGACAGACCAGGAATCAATTTTTACAAAAACCTTCTCGAAAATTTATTTTCGAAGTGTCAAATTTAAGTGAAAATTCACCAAATGGAACACAGCCTAAGTCTGATATTTGACGTTAAGCATCTCCAACTATGTACAGGGTGCGTGACGAATTTTTGCAGTAAATTTCAAATAGTAATTTCTCATGCTTGTGCATCATGATTTAGATATATTTGGCAGCACTGGATAGCTTATACTGTTAGGTGTAAGATTTAAACAAACAATGTTGAGTAAACGTAAAGATGTCGAAACAAGAGAGCAATCTGTCAGCCGTTGTCGCTTTGTTGCGCACCGGAGTATGCATGAAAGAAATAATTCGGTCGGTAAATGTGTCTGAAAGAACAGTGTATAATATTATAAAAGTGGTTGGGAAAGTGATAAGACGGAGCACCTGCTCATACTGCTAATAAAGCACAGAAATGGCTTACGGAAAATATTTCGTAAATTTGGGAGGAAGAAATTTGGCCCCCAAGCAGTCCCGATATAAATCCGTTGGATTATTTTGTATAGGGCGTCGTCCAACGGGATACCAATAGAACCCCTCACACCACACTTAAGTCGCATACTGCAGTTTCCGGAAGCGTCTAACTACAATCGTTGAAAGGGAAGGCAATTTTTTTGAATAAATTTACTTACAACTTCCATATATGTGCGAAAATAAATCGCACAAAATTCATTGCTAGAATAACTAACTGGTGTATTTTTTCTCAAATATGCCATTTACTGCAAAAATTCGTCACGCACCCTGTATATCTTCAAATTCACGCATGAAGTAATAACACATGATTAGTTAAAGTAGATCATTTTCGATTTTGTATTAATTTTTCTAGGAACTCCCTGAAGGCCCCTTCCATAAATCCATTTTAAATTGATGTGAGTTCTCCTTAGAATTTCCATGCAATTAATCTCAGAAATACCATAAATTTCTGCTTAGAATAATCTTGGACTTCTTCCCTGCATTCAATTGGAAATTCAATTCGTATTCTCCTTAGAATTC